AATACCTCATACAAAGGTCTACGGATACTTTAGTACTCTCCATGACCTGCGGTCAACTATATAGCATAAATGACTATTACACCGTCTTTCTTGAACAATCTGAAGTGTTGCCAAACGTTTGATTTGTAGGTATTTTTCGGTGCGCTGTGTTTCTCTTTCTCCTCAACTTCCGTGTGTGTTGATAACTGAGACTCTCGGCCTCCGTCGTGGCGAAGCAAATATCAAAGATCGTCTCTGCTGAGCGTTGACAAGATGAGGGGATTTTATATGAATGAATCGGTTTTTTACCGATGCAAAGACGCTACGCAATCGATGCATCGCGAGTTCAACCCGGTTCAACCCAAACTGTAGCCGATGTGCACTCTTTCAACCGGTGCACTCTTTCAACCGGTGCACTCGCATCTTGAACGTTTATGCCGGTGCACCGATGCGAATCGGTGAATCTTAACATCTCTAGTGTGTAGTGTTGTACAGTGTGTAGTGTTGTACAGTGCGTAGGTGCGTGTTGTACAGTGCGTAGGTGCGTGTTGTACAGTGTGTAGTGTTGTACAGTCTGTAAGTGCGTGTTGTACAGTGTGTGTTGTACAGTGTGTAAGTGCGTGTTGTGTGTAAATGCATGTTGTACAGTGTGTAAATGCGTGTTGTACAGTGTGCAGTGTTTCCCCTACCATTGTCTTGTAGGGGCAATGCGCCCCGCCAACGGAGCCCCGCGCCCCCCCCTGAATTTCAAGGTGTTAACATTTTTTTATATATAATCTATATCTACTGTCACTTTTCAAATTGAACATGTGCTCTTTTATTAAAGGTGACCTATCATGCAAAATGCACTTTTGTACATCTTTTATACATGAATATGTGTCCCCGGTGTTCCGGGGAACTCACCAAGTGTCAGAAAACACAACCCTCTCTATTTTCCCCCATACCCAAATCTCTTAAAAAGGGGCTGCAACGGATCTGATACAGACTGATCCAGATTTGAACACTTCTATGACGTCACAGAAGTGGCGCTACGGCTATTGGGCCAACTCCACCAATCAGGAGGAGACAGCCACGGACATTGCCGTTCGAAAGCGCTGGAGACGCTGTAGTACATATGCCAGGCCTGTAGATGGTGCTGTTCTCACAGAATCAGCCCATGCAAAGACAGTGTTAAATTGAGCGAAATGAGGAATGGCTAAAATACATGATCCGTTTGGTATATTGAAAAATCAAAAGTATAAATATGCCTTATAGGTATGGTCCTACACTATATTATTCAAATATAGCATGATAGGTCCACTTTAAATAAACTAAACACTTTCATTTTAAGTTGTGAGTTTAGTGTTTTTGACCCTAAGAAACACTGATGCATTAATCAATAACAATAGTCCACAGCTCCTCTCTCTGCTCCAGAGGATTTAAAAAATATATATCCCAATGCCACGTCTCTTTAAAATGACCGCACAGAGGAGAGGATTTTTCATTTCTCTAACCGCCTGCTGCTTCCCCTCCTCGACTCCTCCGCTCGCATCTCCTGTGGGCGGGACTAAGAGACGAGGATAGGAGTCGAGGAGGGGAATTAGAGAAATGAGAAAGGCCCATTGCGTTACCCATTTAACAATATATTAAAGTTAATTGAAAGACAGTTCTTTATTGAAAAGAAAATCTTTCACGGCCACACAGCCCCAGCCGTGTGTGGGTTGTTTCCAAAATTCAGATTCTACCCATCCAGGCTAACCCTTGTCTGCTTAATAAAATATACTTTTGTTAATATAGTCAATCCAACTCACTCACTCACTCACTCACTCACTCACTCACACACACAGACAGACAGACAGACAGTCTGTTGCCTGTTGTGATGTAACGGTCATGAAGAAGTGTACCTCTGCTGCTGCTCATATGCTAAACCTTTTTTTATCTTCCTCACTTTTTTCATCACTGCCTCCCTCCTCTTCCTCGTCATTCCACACACACACACACACACACACGCACGCACGCACGCACGCACGCACGCGCGCGCACACACACACACACAAATTCTTTGTGGAGAACAAAAGGCCCTTGATCTGTCCCCGAGGGCCACAGCTTGCAACGGGTTGATTCTGACTTGCCTTGTGTCTTTGTCAGAGCCAAGAAAATGTGTGTGTGTGTTTGTCTCTAGGAGTGTAATGCTGCTTGTGTTTTAAGAATATGTCGGTGTGTGTGTGTATGTGGCTTCTTATTTGTGTGTGTGAAGGGAGTTGGGGATACATGT